TGGGGCGCTGCCGATTGGTCCTGCAGCGCCGCTCTGGGCACTACTGGACCAACCCTGCAGCACCCCAGCTGCTCTGCCCCACGCTTCCTGGAATCAGCTGCTGATCAGTTTCAGCAGCAGCTGACTTGGGGAAGCTTGGGGTTCTTAAATTGAATCTGTATGTAAGTCAGAACTGGCGGTCAGTTTCAGCAGCGGCTGAATCTGGACGCCAGTTCCGACTTACATACAGATACAACTTAAGAACAAACCTACAGTCCCTATCTTGTACGTAACCCGGGGACTGCCTGTAGTAGGAAGACAGTGTTCCTGCAGAAATTCAAGTGGCCAGTGTAGACAGCTAGCAAGTTTTTCCACTTTGCGGAAAAGCTTGCCAGTCTAGACACAGCCAAAGAGACAGCCACATCATGACAACAGGAAGGAGGGAAGGAAACTGGATGTCAGGAGTAAGCAGCACAGCAAAATACATAAAAAGCCAGTAAATAGAAGAGGCAAAGACAGAAGAATACACAAGGCAGAGCAAAAGTTACATGTTCATGAATTACGTAGGCTGGTTTTGGACCAAATGAACACAGAACTCTACAAGACCAAACATCATTTGTAGAAATGAAAATACTTGTCTAACAGAAAACACAGATGAGACTGATAGGAACAGTTATGAGTGTACAAGGAAGAGGCAGTATAAGGAGGAATAGAGTTGACATTGTACCAAAGTCAACAGAGCCCTTCCATGCAGACACAAAGGTCTTCCGGAACATATTCAGTTGCAGGGTTGAAGCCTAAGGGAGGACAAGGAAAGCAGTCTTCATAGGGTGATGGAGCAGATGCACAAGAGGTAGGTGTTTTTAGAAAGGGGTGGGATGGGTAAGATAACACTGAACATTCATACACAACTGAACAGTATTAAATGTATTGCAATATTTGTTAAATATTTACCTGTAAAGTTAATGGTATTATTTCTAAACTCCCCTCAAATGAGAGAATTTATATCCACAGTTTAAAAATGTGTAGCAAGCACAATTTCAGATAAAACTTGAGAAAGTTACTGTCATCATACATACACGGATACCTGAATCTGTTACCAATCTGAGAATTCAGATTCAATTCTCTCATGTATTAGGCCTTATGCCTTTACCTATCTTGCAATGTGTTAGTCAATATATATTGGAGATGACATCCAATTAACACATACACCACATAGTTTAATATAAAAACAGTTTATAAAATGATCACAACTTCCCATCATCATGCTTTCCCCCACATTTCTGTTCACAAGATCAGCTTTACAAAATGTTGTCATGTCAGTTTTATGACTAGAAAATAGGAAGCATGGTAAACTAAGATATAAAGAGTGGCAGGTCTAGCAGACGGCAATGAACCTCTACTCTCAACTGTACAGCGCTAGCCAAATCAGAAATAAAGGAAAGAATACAACAAAATAAGTTAAAGAATTGTTAAAAAGATGGATTGAATTTTAGGGATGTGTAAAAAGCTTTGCCACTTAAAAATTGTAGCACAAATATTACTAACTGATAAGCTATCCTAGAAGCACATTTTGTGTGCACGTGACACAAGATAATTGATTCCCAGAAAGACAGCAGAAGTGTCTCCTTTCTGTATTTTACTGCTTAGTCTTTACAAAATAAATTTGGATAATTTTGGTTATTTGGTCTAGTACATTTAAGAGCAAGACATGAGTGTAATCAACTGATAGTCTACTTTTTATCAACACGTGGAATTCTGTAATTCTACTTGAGACCAGTACTTAGTCAACAGATCCAACTGATTTCAGATATCTGTACTTCTTCCCTGAAGGTGACTTAAGCAGACCTAACTTCAGAAACCTTCAGAAAGATCCAGTGTCTTCATCTGGTTCCTCTAAATAACTACACTCCTCCTCTCAAGAGTGTCCTTTTTGAATTTTTGATCCCAGTGGTCAAAAGCCTGTGTGTGTCCTGGAATTGTCAAATACACACTTCAATAGTAATGAAACAAGTGGCTTATCTTGAGCTATTCTTTCCCTTCCTGCTTTTTAATCCACCCACCCCCACTTTAAACTAAGCCACTGTAGTCATACAAATCTCTCAATCAAGTCAACAGGCACTACCCTCAAATTACAGAGCAGCTCCAAATCCACCACAGTTGTCACAAACAGTGTTTCCTGAAAGCTGAATGCTTGGACAACCACCCAAATGACACTTAGCCTGATTAGCCGAGTACCCAGAGCCAACAGCATGTGCTTCTACTGGTGATACACATCCACTCATGACTTGGTACACATACCAAAATTTATTCTACATGTGGATTGAAAAAATTAGAGGGAATACTGGCCACAACTGTGCGCTGTTGAAAAAATTCTTAGCTGCTTATTTTTTTTGTTTATTTGCCAAAGCTCTCAAAAATTTAACACAAATTCCATTCTAATGACTTATTCAATTCCTTCTGTTACAGGTGATTATGATATTGCTCGCTCTGGTAGAGAAACAGGAAAGCTGTTTCAGAATTTTAAAAAGGGCCAGTCAACTTTTGTTTTTAAAGTAGACAAATTACTCATTTACAGCTTTAACTATGGCATTAATGTTAAGACTCAAATACATTCTTGAATAAGTCAATTATCTTTGCACATACAAAGAAAAAGGTAAGTAGCTTCAAATGTAGATGAAAATACATAAAAAAACTTCTTACAGATCTTACTATTCAAGAACATACAGTAGCTAATGGAAACTACCAATAATTGACCAATTAATTTCCCACCTTATGCCTCCCTCAAATACATATTCACCATTTTAAACATTCCGCTGGTTAGGATGTGCGTTCAGCTTTTCAGCCAGTTAAGTCCATCAACAGAAAGAAGCATTTAAAGAGGAAAGCATAAAGGTGTTGGTGTTTGAAAGATAAATATAATTATTTTTAAAAGTTACTTTATTTTCAATTTGGTAGCATTTACTGTCTAAAGTGATGGAAGTATTTCATTACAATGTTGGATTATAAGTACTTGCGCAAAACTGAGGGGACAACCCTGATATTTTATAGTTAAGAAAATAACATGCTATGAAAAGTATTTACTACACCCACTGTGAATCTATTTCATAATATCACTAGATAAAATACATAGATATTCACCTGTATTCATTGGTATAATCAAAATCTTGTTTGTTATGAGTTGGTTTTAGGAAGTTACATTCTATAACTCCAACTACGCCAACACCCATGTTGTTTGCCTGTAAAAGATTAATATAACAATTAGAAAATGATGCCAACTTTTATACTTATTCTTATAACATTCTAATTTACAAAGAGAAAAAACAGACAATTCTTAGTTTGGATTTTCCAAGCATTCAATTTAGCAACAAGTTTGGTGGGGGTGGAGGAAGAGCACCGTCAGCTGAAGATTCAAAATTTTATTTTGACATGTCGTTCCTCTCAAAACGAAATACGTGGTTTTTGTACCTAACGGGTAAAAAAACCCACAACCAACTATGGATAAGGGAGGGCTTCAAAATAGGTGCAAGGTATAAAACCCCACCACCACCTTGGCAGAAGGATAGATATTCAGGAGCATGGTGGAGAGGAGAAAAAAATTAAAATAGGATCACAGGAGCAATAAGAGGGATGTCAAGGTAGGGGCGGAGGGGGGGAAAATATACTCAACATCTCATGTTGATACACAAATACAAGGAGCAGGGATACTAAACAGTAAAGAAATATTAGTACATTAGCTAAATTATCTCAGACTTTGTTGGATAAATCTGACTGGAATATTGGTATGGGGGTCATAATTAGGTCAGGAGGACAAGTAGAAAAAGAGGAAGGTGGTGTTGTGTAAGACACACTTTGAGGTTTAAAAAAAAAGTCGGACACACAAGTTGGAAGCAGGGCTTTGGAGCGGAGCCTGGAGCTAGAGCACAGAGCAGTGGAGCTGCAGGTTTTTGCCCAGAGCTGGTGCGGAGCTGGAGCACAGAAAATCTTGACTGCTCCACTACTCCAGTTTTTTTTTTCCTTCCTCCATTTTCAATCCAAAATGAATGATATTTTACCAAGAAAGTCCTAAAGGTGCCAAAATGTTTCAGATTGTATAACAACTGATATTAACATCTACTTTACCACTTTACGTAATATGTCACAATTATTCTCACTTCGGCTGAAATCAAGATTTAATGTACAGATACAAGATCACAAATTTTTTGGAGATATGTTTTATTAAAGAATCAGATAATTATCAGACATCTGGCAGCACTGCAAACTGCTCCCACCCTTGTGCCAAGGTTAGGCAAGTACATACTCGCGTAGATTAGTATGTGTTTATTTTCAACTTTGTAACGTGTAGCCTCGTTACTTCCCAACAATTAATGTTGTAGAACAGCGATAGCACATACCAAATTTCATTGATATATCTATGTTAAAGTGTTTGAGATATTAATTAAAAACTTGGAAAATATTTCAAATATTTTTACCACAAAATTTCAAAGAAAAGCTTGCAATTTATAAATAAAAATTATGTACATTAAAAATACTTCTTTCTTGATTAAAACTGCAAGAAACATGTTAAAATATTAAAATATACTTTAATAATAATTGTGTAAAAAGAAAATGCGATTTTTGTCCAGAAAATCCAAAATAAATTTGAAGTACCTTAAGTGGTTAAGATATCACAATTTAATCCTTTTGTTTATTGCTTTTCGAAGATCATAAGAAACATTTGGATGCGTTAGCAGCACAAGAAGATTTGGCCATGGCTTCAACAACAAAAACAAAATCAAATCTGCTCCCCAGGACTGATAGCCGATTTACGGAAAAGGATCAACAACAACATCTTTACTTTTGAATTTGAAAAGCCCAAATTTGGGCTTTTGAGAAAAGCAAAGAAGAAATCGGCAACATGCAAGGTGGAAGGGGAAGTGAATGACGAGCTCAAATTATTAGCTTCAAGACAAGTGAAGCAAGAGCCGTGAGAAGTTTCAAACTTTGGTGGCATGTAAAACGTAACCATCCTGAAAATTATGTGGCTCTGGTTACAAAAAGGACCAGGAAGATGAGGCAAAACAGAAAGCTGACGTGGCTAAATGATGTTCATCTGGCTCTTTGAAAACTCCTGGAGAAAATATTTTTTTATGGAGCTTCATCTGAAAAGAAACCCAAAATTGAGCAAACAAAACTTGACTCATATTTGAAGTCCTCAAAGGTTACAGTCACCATGGATGCCAATACTTTCCGTGTAAGGCTGATGGAAATGGCTTGCTTGAGTTCAAAACCACTCACTACCTTCAGGCTAAAGAACAAAGGATTCCAAAAAAACTGCAGGTGAAATGGGTCGGCAGTTTGGTGTTTTGACATGGCACGATGCGGTTCATCATTTAGTTGTCAGCACAGCTGAGTCTGGTGGCGAAGAGCTCAAGAAAGCTTTGGACTAAAAATTGTGCTACCTGAAAATGGATGTGACAACCCATGGAAACAGAAATTTCCTTGCAATCAATGCTCAGTACTACGAAGAAGGAAAAGATAAAGCTGTGGTAAAAACCTTGGACATAATCAACACTGAAAGGCGTCACAATTCTTCCTACATGAAGTGTCAAGTAAAAGCTATTTTAGAAAAATTTGGGATCAGTGAAATGCAAGTGCTGAGCATCTGCGCATTGACAATGTAGCAAACATGATGTGTGCCGTCAAAAATTTCAGCAAGGACAATGAAACCATTTCTACCTCTGAGAACAAGAATGTGGACAGAACCAAAGCTATTTTGCTTGATGAAGGAACTAAAGGAATGGATGAAATCGAACTCAACATGGATGCTGCTGCACAATGGGTTAATGACCCTAACCTCATGCTTACAACACAACTTCATGAGGACGACTCAGAAGTCCAACTGATGAGCTGTGATATTCACACTCTTCAGAAGTTGGCAATCTGAGATGGACTGAACAAAACATGAAAAGAAACTTCTGGCAAAAATTCAACAAGTTGTCGTCAAACTACGAACCCCAAGTATTCAAAGTGTTCTGCTTGATCTACATGGGGATAACTCAGTCATTGGATACTGTGACTCACTGGGGTTCAACATTTGCAATGATTGATCGGCTTCTCGTTTTTCAATCTTACTGTGAACAAGTGGCTGCTGTTGGAACAAGAGAACTCAAGTTAACAAAAGCTGAATGGGACGAAGTGAAGAACCTGCAAGACCTCTTGGCAAAGCCAAACCAAACAACCGTGAATCTTCAAGCTGTCAGTGTAACCCCGAGAGTTTTAAATGAAGGAATGGCGAAAACTGTCAAAATTCTTGCAAGAAAATGGTGGACAAATTGCAGAAGGAATTCTATCCTTCATGCAGAAACACGAAGAGAAGCTTTTAGACAATATTCATTTCCTTGCTGGAGTTTATGTTGATCCATGGTATCGGATTCTTCTTACCTCAAGGGAAATACCAAAGGCAAAGGAAGGGCTCCTTGATATTGCTCAACAACTTGAAAAACAAAATCTATTGCTACATTTGAACTCGGCGAAAGAGGTTGAGGAAAACGAAACAACAAAAGGAGTCATCAACAATCGAATTTGTGGTTTCGGAATGTTCACATCCTTCAGAAATAGCAGGCCGTTCTCAAACTTCCTTCTCCATTCTGAACTTGTTCGAGTGTCCATCCCTGAGATGTCTTCAACCATCACAGGAAAATGAAGATAATTCAAGCACCAATTCTTCAGATGACGACGACTTTGAAAACGAATTGGATAAACAAAACAGACACCGGCAAGTTTCTGTGATCGATAATTGTAATGAAGCATTATTCGAGAGAAACTTTTGACGACGACTTTGAAAACGAATTGGATAAACAAAACAGACACCGGCAAGTTTCTGTGATCGATAATTGTAATGAAGCATTATTCGAGAGAAACTTTTGGGAAGATCGTGTGGCAACGGAGTCTATTGGTAGGCTAAAAGTTAAGTCTGTTTTTGATGCCATTCACAGCTACCCACACCGCATTCAGGCTGCCTGTAGACTTGCTTCGAGCATGCGAACAACTCACGCTAGTGTAGAGTGACTGTTTTCAGCTTTAAAGTTACAGTAGACTTCTGATAATCGGGCACCTTTTGGACCCATGTGGTGCCGGATTATCAGATTTGCCGGAGAATCAGGAGGTCCGGTACAGCTGCATGGCTTAACAGCTGGCCAGGACACAATTTCCCTCCCTCTCCCCTCCCCTCTTCATGTCTCCTCTGTGCTGTAAGCTGATCCTCCTCCCTCTCCCCTCCCCTTTCCTGAAGCAAAACGCTCTTCTCCATACTGTAACACGATCCCCCTCCCCCTCCCCCAACCTTATGCTCCCTCTGGTTACAGCCAGCACATGTACTGAGCGGCAGGCTTTTTAATCAGCTGGTCAGGAGAGCTTGGCATTTCGATGCCGGAGTATCCGGAGTGCTGAATAGTTGGATGCCGGACTATCCGAGTTTTACTGTAATTTTAAATGATCTGCGGCAGGCTATGAAAAACGACTTGATTGCTGTAATAATTTACAGACTGAATTATGAATTCTAGTGTGTATCATTGTTGATGACATTTAAATTGTTTCAAAACTCTGAAAAAAATAATGCTTTTCAAAGTTACAGTATGCACTTTTTTATTTAGTTAAAAATTAATTTGAGGCGGAGCGTGAAGCAGAGCTGGAGCAGTCACTATTGGTGCCGGAGCGGAGCTGGAGCGGAGCAATTCAAAAATATGATTGCTCCAAATCCCTGGTTGGAAGTTTATCAAAGATAACAGAGGAAAAATCAGGGCAACATCATGGCATGCATATATTCTAGACCAGTGTTTCAAGGGAAGTGCCACCAGTACGTACAGTATTCAAAAACACAACATTTTTTCTACCATTGCAACACATTTGTTTTAAGAACTTAATCGTAGCAGGGTTGAGCGAAGAAATTCTGGGGTGTAAAAAGTACAAAAATAAAGCGCTATAAAACAAACAAAAATTCAGTTCTCTCCAAATTTCAGTTGTGTTGATGGCTCTCGAGTACCCCTAAAGGTACTTATACCACTGGTTAAGAAACACTGTTCTAGATCAAATCAGGAGGAAAAAGTGGATGAGATACAAAGGAAAGACAAAGAATAGTATGAGGCCAATAACTCTCCAGCATGAGCTCTTCAATGACAAGAAAATCAAAAAGGAATCCTACAGAAAGTGGAAACATTGTCAAATTGATATGGACCACCAAAGATTGGCATAAGTATGT